GGGGTTGATTTACTAACCTTATAAACACGCCACGAACATGTATACACCTCTGTAGTGTGTTCCCTCCCAGCATGATCTATGGGTGGAATCTAAACACCTTTGTAGTGTGTACACACCCAGCAGGTGTGTTGTGCAAAGCCCCGCATGAATTGCAAGGTGATGCTGTGTAAATTAGCTCTATGTTGTGTTGCTTGTGTTGATGAATGCAGGAATGTAAATGCATGAGCTAACCATTTTTGTCTAAACTGTGAAGCAGCATTATATATGCATCATGTGCATGATTTTTCCATATATGGCATTAGTGGAAATATGCTTTTAGAGACTTTTTGGTTGATAAATAAGTTTTGCTGTGTGAAAATCACACGCACCTGGTGCGTGCGTGTGTTTAGGTTAGTAAATCACCCCCAAAGTCTCAGACTCTTCATTGTGTTCTCCTGACTTCCCCAGAGGGCATCAAGGAGGCCTCCTGCACCACCTGCCCCAGCGGATGGATACAGATTGGATCCCGTTGTTACTTTTTCCAGGACTATGAAGAAACGTGGGAGAAGAGCCGGGAGGAATGCGCAAAGCGTGACGGCGTCCTTCTGATCCTGAGGGATGGGGCTGAACTGGTAATTGTCTCGTCTACCAATGAAGGGAGAAGGTCTGATTTATAAAAGGAGGAGGAGAAAACTGAGCTCTGTAAATAGATACAAAATTCCACTTTAACTTTTTCATTTTTATTTTTTACAATATTCATTTTTTTTCTACTTAACTTTATGAATATCACAAAGGGGGCTGATGAGTCAAGGGGGCTGATATATTTCATAGCAGGTCCCCTTCATGGAGACATTAGGGGTCTACTAGACCCCAAGTGCCTCCTTTGTACTTTGTCTTAACAAATCATGAATGTACACGATCAGCCGTTCTCCCCGAAGCAGTGGCCATGCACTGAACCTGGAAGTGCTCACAGCTGAGTGCTTCCAGGTTCCTGCCTCACTGGGGGGATTGAGAAATGGATGTCTTCAGTCTCCCCTTTACTCTCCATCCCGAAGGGTGAAATGGATCTCCCAGACTGCTCTAGGACACAGGGAAGCTCGGGACACCCATTGGGGGGTGCTGCTCACATGTCTGTTGTACCCATAGAGTTTATGGTGAGAAGGGACTAAAGAAATCCAAAAGTCCTCCAACCGAATCAGTGTGTAGCTTCTTAGAACAATGGCATACAAAACAAGCACACTGAATAGGAGAAGACCATTGTTAAAGGAGGACTATGAGGCGGGTGATTTTCACTCATCCTCATAGTGAGGGAACACATACCGGCGCTCGTTCACTTCTCGATCATCTCCCTGCAGAGAGTGGTGACCGTCAGTCACGGCTCCCTGC